CCACATCACAGTTGATGAAAGTCGATTGGTAATCAGCTTCATCTTCTCCTAGGGTGAACCTTGCGATCATCTCCGCCCTTGTATCGTCGGTGGGAGTACAGAAGTCACTGCCCTTGACAATATATGGGATGTTTCCCTCTACTTCTAACATGATTTTCTTGTAGTTCGGGGAAACCATGTACGGGTTGCCGCAGGCTGGCCATATGAATGTGTATCCTTCCTCCATGCATTTCTTTCCAACAGACAGTACTGAAGGAGACTCATCTAGGACGAATGGGGAGTAGGTAGAGTCAAATTCGTCGAAATGAATGTCGGCGACTCCTTTTGTGGATGTCACTCCATTTGCAGTATAGAACGACATTGATTGGTCGCTTTCTCTCACTTCCAGACCTAATTTCTTGGCTCTGCCTTTCGATATCAAATCATACCCACATCCTGTGTCCATGATGAACTTTGTTCTTGACCCTTTGGCTGGAATAGACAATGTCTTTGTGTCTGCATGATCTTTCTTTCCCTCGCATACATGAGGAATGACTTTATGATGGAAAACTAGGCCGTCATCTTCGTCAAAAGACATAGTGACCGATAGGTCACCCTTTGGTCCAACTGGTATTCGGACCCTCTTGATCTCAGTGTAGGGGACCATCAATATGCCTCTTGCCTCTGCGACCTTTTCTTCAAATCTGATTTGTTCTTTCCTCGTGTAGCAGGTGAGCTCTTTCTCATCGTATCGTTTGATGTCTGGACGTAGAGGTTTCCTTTCTACTACCTTCCATTTGTTCCTGACTGAGTAGATCGCTTCGTTCAACATGATCTCACAAGTCTCTTCATCAAAGGATACTTTTGCACCTCCTTCTCTTGCCTTGGCGGATGCAGCAATCCCTTCATCTTCGGATTCGTCCATGAAGAGTTCACCGTCAATGGCTGGGGCTCCAGGCTTCGCCTTAGGCTTCGGTTTGGGTTTTGCCTTGGGCTTTGGCCTATCGTCTCCTGAGTCAGCTGGTGCAGATATCCCTTTCTTAGGAGAGGCTTTTGGGTCATGGTAGAACTTGCAATCCTTCCCTTTGTCACAAGTTCCTCGAATCCACATCCAACATACTGGCTTGTCATTCTTTCCGACAGAAGATCCTCTGGATGGTGATCTGGGTTTCTTGTGACTGAATGGGCAATCTTTCCCCATAGTGCAGTTACCTTTCACGAAGTATTTGCATGGTATCTTCTTCTTGTCTGTACTCGGACTTCGGCTGCGATCCTTTCCATCACCTTTACCTTTCCCCTTTCCCTTTTTGTTCTTGTCTTCAGGATGCTTCTTGGGATTGGGTTTCGGCTTCACTGCAGCAGCGTCTTCTGAGACAACCTGTTCTTGTTGCCCTTTTGGTTTCTTCTTCGGATCAGCTGGTGCAGCTTTCAGTTTTGGAGCAGGTCCGCCTGGTTTGAGATTCTGAAAGATATTGGCCACATTCTTCACTGCCTTCTCCTTTTCCAGGATCATCCTGTCTTCAGTTTGCCGTTCGATGTGCCTTCTGATCATATCACGTAGATGTTTGTATGTCTTCTTGGCATCATCGTCGTTCATGCTGTTGTAGGCGCTGATGTCGTATGCCATGAGGTTTGAGTTCCTGATCTTTCTCCATAGGAGATCCCGAAGAGTTTCGTCGCTCGGGACGTCAACGGGCTTCATTCCTGCCAGAATCTCATCCCAAGTGTGGAAGAACAACGATAAGTTCTTGTCTCCTTGATATTCTAGTTGGTAGAGGTGCATTGAAGTATATAAGACTTCCACATTTGATGTTGTCTTGAAATTCATAAGGATCAGGGCTAGGACCTCTCTTCCCTTTATGAGGCTTGATGTTCTCCCTTTTGCATTGATCCTCGTCCTCAACTTCATAGCTACACCTGAACCATCATCTTTCGCATCCATGACGACCTTGGTAAGAGCTAGGCCGAGTTTGGCATCGATTGAATGGAATCTTTGGTCTCCTGAGTCGACAAACTTGTCCGGATCAGGATCGTCCATGGCTTCTTTGATCCAGTCGATCCAGGGCTCTTGATCTGAATCATTGGCCGCAATGATGATCGATTGAATGAGATTTGCCTTCCATAGTCCAAGATCATTGATCCTGGGCCATGACGGAACGTTTATCTTTGATTCTTCCTTCCTCGATACTTTCATGATTGTAGAGGTTGCCGGTGCAAGATGAGATGAAGAGGATGCTTCTGCTTCTGAAATCTTGTCCCTCAATGATTTGTTCGCCTCGGATAGCTCAATTGATTTCTCCCTTTCCTCGGCGTACTCATTGTGGGTTTCGGCATACCATTGATACATCTCATCTCGGCTCTCTGTCATCTCATTGTACCCGTCCTTGTAGTGCTTCGCCTCCTCTTTTGCGTTCCGAATCTCATCTTCCTCGGACGCGTGGGTTGGTAACCCGCGGTCTCTGGAACTAGGACGCTTGCTGTACCGAGAGACTATGGGTGCCATTCGTGCTTCTGCTTTTAATTTCGCATTTTCCATAATGACATTCTTTGTCTCCTTCTGGCTTTCCAATAGTGCATTCTCCAGCTCTCTGATCTTCTGTTGAATTTCAGCACCATCATCGCCGAACATAGGAGCTCTCATCATATTCTCTCTTTTCAGCTGTGCGTTGGCTTCGGATAGAGCGAGGTTGGCGTCTTTCAACTGTTGTCGTTCACGGATGGAACCTTCTAGGACTTCGTTGTTGAATATTTCTCCTTTTGCAATAACCTCCTTTGCGACGTTTGCTTCGTATTCATGGTGGCTCGCCTTCATTTCTGCCATTTCTTTAGCAGAGACTTCAGTCTGGCATACAAACATCTCCATCCTCATGCCCACTTCCATCTCTCCTATCTCTGCTCTCGCGTTGAGTTCAGCTCCACGTGCCATAGCTAGTTGACCTCGTAGATGATCAATAACCATAGCTTCCTGATTGCTCTGATCTTGAGATGAGTGAACACTGTGTTGAAGACGTCTTTCCCTGACCTCACTGTTCCATTGTTCTTCTCTCTGGTGTTGGATCACCTCGTGCATGTTGACATTCTCATCCTGTAGCGCAATCATTCTAGCTTGTATCTGGTTAGCTATTCCGACGAAGGCTGTGTTCTCATCCTGAATGGCTTTTGATCTTCTATTGATCGCCAATGAAGATTCATTCTGTTCTTGGATGTGTCCAATTGCTGCTTGAAGCTCTTGGGACATTCTGTCCTTCGTTGCTTTCACAGATTCAAGCTCTGAATGTTCTTGATGAGTTTCTTGTGCAAGCTCTTGATATCTCATGTAGATATGTTCAGCTGTCGATTCCGCCAAGCGTAGCTTGTGTTCGAGCTCTTCAATTCTTATTGTCGCTCCTTCATCTTCCTGTGTCATCTTTTGTAGATGTTCCTGCATCTTCCTGTTGTAGCCAGACATTTGCCTGAACTCCACTTCAGCCTCGTGGTGTAGTCGTGAGTATCCGGCTTGGATGCATTCATATTCTTCATGAAGAAAATTGTATGCGTTTCTCGCCGATCTCAATTCTTCACCCAGCTGAATCTCTCTTCTTTGCTCTTTTGTTCCTCTATCATCGTCACGTCTCTTCTCTATACTCCTTCTTGGGGATTTCGCGGTAGACGTTATAGGCGATGTAGATCTTGTTGTAGCTCTCATCGATCTTCTTGGTCCTACGGGTGCAAGATCGGTCAGATTCCGAGCCGGTGGCACGGATCTTTCCGAGATTTGTGATCCAGTAGGCATAGTGATAACGTCAGCATTTGCTGATGAATCAGTACCCATTGTAGAGTCTGGTGACGAAATGGTGTTGGGACCACCAGGAGCAGCGAATGAATAGGGTTCGCTTCCATTTCCTCCTGAGCTTGACATTGCAGGTTTCTGTAATGACTAGTCTTGTTCTTGGTCTCGTGTAGCTCGTACGGCTATAAAGAGCGCGTACGGCTGATAACCTGCGAGTGGATCTTAATCAGCGAAGTTTGAAGCTATCACTGACGGTCCATAAGCGGCGTAGCGTCGGAACGGAAACCGCACCTTTTCTAGTCGCTTGATCCTTGAGCCAAAATACATATGGTACATATATATGTACAAGTTGCACTGTACGTGTCGCTGCACTTCCATTCGCATTGAACAACTAAGCACACAAAACCGTTCGATCTGTTTCGATTTCTCCAACTCCAATCACCCGGAGCAAACGAGCCAGGCAGGGACTGTGTCAATGCTGCAAGCACCTTGAATCCGAGGTGCCAGGTGGATCGGCGAGGTGGGGCGCGTGATATACGAGAATCGAGGTAGATCGAGGTGGATCGACGATTTTGAGGAAAGGCAGGAAAGCCTTTGGATCCCAATGAGACAGAATCTGATGGATCTGTCATGGCCAAATTGCTGGGATCTTTGATCTTCTATCCATCTAAGGATGTGTGCACTGTGGAAAGCAAACCACTCTGTCACCCCAGAGCCTGCAGGACTCACTCAAACACAGCGGAGGGGGGTGGGCGTTTGAAAAGCCCGCCATGGATGCCCTGACAAAAACAGTCAAACGTCAACAGCTATCCAAAAAGCTGGTCTCTGTGAGGCTCGTGCCTGCAGCCTGTGGAAGGATAGAAACAACAGGAAGGAAGCAAAACTGAACAGAAACTCAACAGAAACATGCAGATCTCTGTACCAATCCAGCAGAGAACTTGAAGGTGTTTGTCCAAAAGCCCGGTGTTGACGGGTTTTGCATGGTTTTGACCTCTTTGGACAATCTTTTGTGCTTCGGAATTTCGCGTCGGTCCAGGGTCCGAGCGAGGGCAAGCGAGTTCGAGTTCTTCGTCTTGCTCCAATCCACCCCTTGCTCCAAGTGAACCCAACTGACCTGTCCAATGGTCTTCAGTTGAACCCTGACATCTTGAACCAATTCAATGGTCAAACTGCCCAAATTCATCTAATTCAATGATGTTCAGAACGGTGCTCTTGTTTTTGAACTCCCGCCAGGGCACGCCCGCCAGGGCTCCCGGCTAAGTCCGCATCATTCGTGGGCGCCACGACTTCTGGAGTGTGGTTGTGGCGTGGGTCGATGATGTTCGATGGTCGACAATGGTCGATGGTGGCCCAGGTGCCACGATTTTTGCTTGTTGATTTGTGTGAGTTTTTTTTTCCGGGGAGGTGTCGTTCACCAATGTTCACCATACAGATCACTTGTTGCGGGAGGTGTCGTATCTCTGAAGCGCAGGACTGGTATGGTACCGCCACAGCCTGATCCTCACATCACATCACGCCATTACGCTGGGACTCCTCTTTCCCCTCTTTCCTGGGGGCTTTTGAGCGAACTGGCAACGATGGTTTAAACTGGCACGTGGTTTACCCATGGTCTATTGCCAAGTTCAATCCTCATCTTGGACCCTGTTCAACCGTGTGACGGACGAGCCTATATCCCGGTGAAAAGTCAGCCACGATTGAAGTCTTATAGTCTTATATAAAACCATGTTTGGAATTGATTGAATGATCCTTTGTGCTTTGTTATGCAGTCAGCCTGTATTTTGTCTCACTGCCTTTCTGCTTGGTTGCTTTCCCGTGGTTGTTGATCATATCTGATCATAAGCCTGCGGAAAAAGGGAGTCGATCTGACTGAAGATACATGGGATCAAAAATCAATCTTGCAGTCTGAGAAGGCACGTGTACAGTACTGCCTTACAGATCCTTTAACAAGATGACATCGGGAATCCTAGGAGAGCAGTGGCCTAGAGGTCAATACAATCCATCAATATGTAGCCAGAAAGGGCCTAGTCAGGCCTAGTCTGCATTGGGTACAAATCAACTTCAAGTGGGAGTGGCTTGTCAAACCCATGCCACCCCTGCGCAGGGAGAGAATCCAAGGTGCAAGTCCATTTCATGTCCTATGAGCTTGTACAACATGGGGAGGATGCATTGGGTGACTGGAAAACATTGGCTCACCTTTGCAAACGTGTCCGAAAAAAAGAAATAATAACATGCCACAGGATGGTCAACGGCCTCAAGGATCAACCGAGCCGAGCCTCTTCTTCCAGCCAAGGTATCATGAACTGTTGATAACTTCAAACCTCCCTATATCCCCAGGAGATGCGAACTGACACCTCGAGATGGGGGGTTTGATTCATCGACCCGATGCGGCGACGGCCGCCTAGGGCTTTCCAACTTTGGGACACCGCCGAGGTCACCGCCTGGAGCCGCCCGAGGTCACCCCGACCGCTGCGGAGGCCCTTCGTTCTTTCGACCCGAAGACGAGACGGAGAACCTGTGGCGAGCGTCGAGCTGCTACAAGTGGCAGCCTCTTTTTGGAGCGCCCAAATCGTTTCTTTAGGTCCCCCAAAAGAAGGATCGTCGGAGAAGAAATATGTGTAAGTATATATAGATACAGTACAATTCTCAACTCTCCATCATGAGGAGGACTCATTATATGGTTGAAAAAGGAAAAGGCGTCTTCTGGGAAGCAGCTGAGAAGTGATCACTGCTGGCAAGTGGCATTCTGTAATTGATGGAAAGATTCTGCACCACCTGTGATGCACCAACCACATATCTTCACTGAAACGAATGCTCAAAAAGAACAGGTTTTTCCCAGACAAGGCAAGTGATGGTTAATGCTTCTTTTCCTGAGATACTTACATCTTCGATGAAACACAAACGTCCAACATCCCATGAATGCTAGCGGCCGAGTTTTTAATGGATGCCAACCAAAAGAGGCGACCCTGGGGGACTGTCCACTGCAGTCAAGTCACCAAACCATGGAAAAATCCAAAAGGAAGAAACCACGGGTTGCAGGTTTTTTGACCACCTCGACCCACCTCGCGAGGCATCACCTCTTTGGCGTAGAAAATGGCCCGCCAGTCCTGGGGCCCCGACTCCGACCCCGGAGGACCGAGGGACCCCCAAACGAGCTCCGGACTGCCGTATGGGCCGATGAGTTGGGGTTGCAAAGGGCTCAATGCAGGCGTCCCATAAGCTGTGTCTGGGAAATGTCGCTATGGTGGTCTTGAAAGTGGTGAAAAGGCCCCACTTGCCCATGGTACCTGGTAGATCTTTACTTCAACCACCGTGGGAAACCACGGTGAACCCACCGTGGTGTCCTTGGTCTGTGTGTCAGAAAGTGGTTCTTGAGGTAGATGAGGATTGCAAAATTAGTTGCTCATCAACCAAGCATAGATCATTTTGGAGTACTCCAATACTCGTTTGGATTGAGCTTACCGGACTAGATAGAGTCTAGAGGGGGTACACATGGAGAAATAGACCATAGATGGCCATAGGGCCAGGCCGTGCTGTTCAACCTCCGGAGCCTTCCAGTAACACATGGAGGTCATGTGGTGACAGCTTAGCCGTCGGTCCTGGCGAACGGCTTCCAAGACCAGCTCGGGATCCTTCACCTGACACGATGGAAGGATCTCCTTGGACCGAAACCGTAAAGTCATGAAGGATCCTACCATGTGATCTGGGGCACGACCACCTAGGTTCAAGATTGATCACGGGACAATCAAGCAAAAGAAGGAATTCATTTGGCGCGATCCATTGAATTTGGATGTGCAACCGACGATTTGGAAGAAGGGGAGAGCTCTCAGATCGTGGATGTTTATCCCGAAAATTGCCACTTGCACTCCCTGGAACTAACATGGAAGTGGATGGCATGGCACCGAAAGGAAGGCCATTTTACAAACAGGGTGGGTTCATGGGCCTTCCACTTCCATCTTAGTTCCAGGGAGAGAACACACCGACCTGGGAAACGGATGGAAACCGCAGTCCCCCTGCCCACGGGCCCAGACCTTTGGATCGGTTCTCACACCATGTGCTTTCAAAGAGGTGGTCAGGTGCTGAAACCGGGCAAGACATCGGGTGTCCTTTGAGCTCTTTGACAGAACAAAAAGTAAAACACACACACACACACATCTCTCTCCACAGTTCTTTGGTTTGTCTCCTCTTGAGGACCAGGCCCTTTGTTGACTGGGCCAAAGGATAACGAAACAAGAACTCAGTGCTCCACACCTCCACCCTACCGTACCACCCTACCGGCGCCCATGCACCCTCATACCGGAACATGTCTTTTCTCCGCGCGCGACCGTCGCGTCGAAGGCGGTTGGAGCGATGAAACCTGAGATAAGACCGAGCCGAACAGCGGAGAGAGAAGCGACCGAGCGAGCCTGCGAGGAAGGAACGGAGCAATGAAAACCATACCAATGGACCCTGAAAACCAACAGATTGTTCATTGTCATGTTATATCTTGCTGGTCTCTCGACCCCGAGAAGGCATAGAGATACGACTTCGTGCTGCACGGACAGTCACATACCGTCCTCAACTTCGATTGGGAAACAGAGCTTGGGTGCTTGCAGGATTCAACGACTGTTCAAAGAGAATTAAGTATTATTTATATATATATACATACGTATGTATTTTTTTAAGATATTGGTTGGGTCTATCCTACTACCAGTAACAGTGGATGATGATGGTTGGTAAAAGCTTTTCTCTAAAAAAGTGATGTTCTTGTTTAACGACTGTTATATAATAGGACAAACCCATATCTTGGAGCGGTCGTAGAGTCGTAGAGGCAACCGGTGCAACAAAACGGGGCCAAAATCTGGGACATCAGGTTTGACCCGTGAGCTCAGTGAGCTCAGCACTGTGACAAGCACGGCTCAGCACTGCTCTCGCCATCAAAACGTGTTGATCCAATACGCCATGCTCAGCACTGCCTCACCTGTGTTGGTCGAACCCTTCACCCTGGCCCTGGTAGTTCACACCCACCAAATCAACATCAAAGCCCAGCTTGGGCACCCAAAAAGTCCGTATCGTTCGTCCAGCACTTCCTTGGGGCTGCTTCTGCAAGCCTGCTTTTGATCTCTGCAAAGTCGTGCTGGGACATCCGGACGCCAAGTGTCGACCTTCACGTTGAGCCCTCACGCCTCGAGTCAGGGCAGCTGGTGTATCTTTCCATTTAGACCAGGATCATCCAATGGGTGTCCAATAATAGACTACCCTACACGACTTACGGATCTCCATGAACACACATTGAAATTGCGAGGGATGTCATTAGAATAATCATAGTACATGATAGTACTATGCGATCTAGATTCAGAGGCCATGCAATCTGGATGCGGAGGTGGATGTCGATGTGAAAAATCATGATGATGAGGATGAGGATGAGGATGAGGATGAGGATGAGGACGAGGATGAGGATGAGGATGACGATGATGATCATGATGATGATGATGATGATGAGGAGGAGGAGGAGGAGGAGGGTCAGTAGGTCTTCAGTTTCCAACAAATCGTCGCCAGGTTTTACCCATTCTTGGTGGGAGGACGATCGATGGCCTGCTGATGCAGGGCACCTTAGATCAGTCTATCCCTACCTGTGGCATGAAACCCTGGTGTCATACCCATCTCTATTCCAATGGATGTTCGGTGGAACATGACTCACAACCACGTCTTGTTCGGGAACATGACTGGAAAAAAGATTGAGACTGGATTGCGTCGACCATTGATTTACCTCATGCAGTCCCATGTCACAAATGACAGGAGCATATTGGTTCATTAAAAATGTGTCTTAAGAACAACAAAATAAAATATTATAGTCAAAGATTGTGGAAGATACAGGTTCCAAATATGTAAATATTCGAAATATTTAAGATTATTTGAGTATATTGTTGTCTATTCTTTTTGATATCCAAATAATAGGCCCGGCCTAATCCTCAAAGGTGGAGGGATGACTCCGCGTCCATTCCAAGGGAAAGGCCGCATTGGTGAACATTCGCGCCGCACTGTGACCACGAACGCCTTCAATCAAGTGGAATTTCTTCCTCGTGTAAAGTTGGGGCATCTGTTACGAACCAATTGAAGGGCGGCAGAGCTTACGTCCGGTCGAGCTGAAATCTGCTGAAAAGGCGGGCTGGCTGAGCCGGGCAGTTCTGTGGGCCAAACTGGTCCATCGGCTGGAAAAAATCGACCGTGCAATCCGGGTGGGTTCGGAGCTGGAACATGAATCCTGAAAAATGTGATGTTGGATCCCTTGCCGCAAATCTCCAGAAGACTTGGATCATCTGTTGGTTGGTGTTCAATCGCTTCCATCTCCGGCAGAAGAAAACACAGGGCATCCGGAAGCGCCAACGCATCATGGTCCTTTTCCCCCACCTGCGCCAACTGGTTCAAGTTGCTTTACATCCCCCCCCACTGGCCCAGGATGGCCCAGGGCTCCCCACAAATCGAGGGAGGCATCCGCAGGGATACGATACACCCGCATCACGTCCTCCGCCCGTTCGGCGTCGCGTCGCGGACGGGCGGAGTATCGGCGCCGAGCGCGAATTCGGTGGGAAGCGTCCGTCGGAACCTCAGGTGTAAGGGGTGTTTTTGGAGGTGCAATTCGGACCATGGATTGGCTTTTTTTGTTGTGATTTGCATTGATTTGCTCGGATGTCATGAGTCTGGAACATGTCATCTCAGACACTCTATGGGACTGGCACATCTACCTATGGTTGAAAAAGGGTTCAATGTAGAGATATATCCCAGTCGCATTCGTCGTCTCTGGGTGTCTTGAACACACACCGTGGAGTACTTCGAATGGCTCGCTGCTCAACCCGACGCATGGAGCAATCCTCCGACACATGGAGCATCCTCCTCCAACCGTGGTCGACGACTGCACAAGGTCCCGTCAATTCCTGATCTTCCAAACTCTGTGGGGCACAACTGGTGCCTTTTCCATGGTGTGTTGGTCTTGGAACCCTGGCCCAATGGAGTATAGTCTAGTCTATGTACCCTTCCCAGAGGTCTTTGTGAGGTCTACCGGTCTACCGGTCTGGGTCCCCCCGGCCGGTGCCTGTGGACCCGTGAGACCGTCCTGGTTCACCTCCTCGGCGGTCTCGGTGGCGACGGCCGCTCGCATGTCGCTGCCCACACAGGACCTGTTGCTGGTCCGGTCCGATCGCTCTCGTTTTTGGACCTGTCGCCCGTCCAGTTTCGGCTCAAGTGGCCTGATCCTTGCAGGTCTGCATGCGAACTCACCGGTGAGTTGGCTTCTTCGACCTATGCCTTACCCCTGTAGCAGGCGGTTAACTCAGTGTAGAGCGGGCAAGTGGACACCCTCAACCCTTTAGCCAGCTCAAGAGAGCCAGTGTGCAGCAAAAAGATCTCCGCTGACGAGCTAGTTCAGCTACTGATTTGGGCTTCCCAAACAGATTGAAGTGGATGAACTCCTCCGTGGAGTGGAGTTGCCTGGAACTTGTTCAGTCAGAGCTGCCATGAGCTGCGCAAGGAACTCCAAACCCTCGCTTTTGGTTTGCAAACCATCGGCTTTACTCATAAAAATCCTGATAAGTTTTGGATCCTGCAGGACCTGCATACCAGAAGTGAAGATCAACGATAACCAGGTTGTTCGTGCTACCAGGAGGATACAGAACAGGTGGCATGCCAGTAGTTTCTCGGAAACCGCGAGGGCCTGGGTCTTGGGAAAGCTGAACTGAAGGCATTCAAGGCCAGTTAAAGGCAAATCAGTGGCCTGCCGAAACATCAGGTTGCTACTAAGTTGCTACTCCTCAAGTCAGCCCTGGTGTAGCTAGGCTACTTTCAGGCCGGATCCGTGGGATCCGTGGGATCCGGTGGATCCGTCACCAGCTCACCAGCCACAAGAGGGCGGTGGAAAAGTGGAAAGAATCGCGGAAGGATATCAGCGCAGATTTTGGCTCCTCCTCTGCAGCTGGTTTCACCACTGCCGCGAGTTTTCGAGCGTCTCCCCAGGTAAAGTTGGGGTGAGACCTGATATATCATAGTGGTCTCCAAATATAGGAAGTGGCGCGGTTGCCAATACGTTGTTGGTGGAGATCAACGTTTCTATCTACGGTATTTGGTGGTCTATATTTATCCCATCTGCGCGTCTTCGCAGAGACCGTTTCGGCCGTTTGGGCTTCTCGCCCAACTGGGGCTCCAGCTGGATCCAGCCGTACCTGGATCCAACGGAGGTGTCCACACGGAAACTGGTGAAAGCCATGAAGATCATGAAGGTTTCTTTGGTTTTCAGGTTATTGGTGTAGGATTTGGGTTGCCCTTCTTCTGTAGCCGCATTTAGCGTTCTTGTTTCTTCCTCTTCCTCTCTTTTAGATTTTTCCAAATTCTATGTATAACATGAGAGCCAACTCTTTTGACAAGTTGTTTGCAGTCATATCGAGAGAGCCCCATGAGTTATGAAGTGAATTTGAATTGAATGGCCCGAAGAAGATGGGGGAGTTCCCCGTCCACTTCATAACCACTACCACTCTGCCCGAAGCCCCGAAGAAGATGGGGTCACGGATCGAACGAACATGTTACAAATGAGCTGGTCCTGAACCCACTCACGGAGTGTCGGTCTTCATCCACGATAGGTAAAGTGTACATCCCTCCAGAAGTAAAGTTGAAATCATCGTCTGGTTTAATCATGATGTAATATACTCAAAACAATGTCCAAACCCACAAAAGAATTGAAAAAATAAACACATGTATATCCTGTATAGAATGATATAGAATGATACATTGGGGTGACATCAATTTGTCATATTCACGTTCCGTTGCAAGCGTGAAATGGGGTTCCAAATCTTCTGGAATCCGCAAGGGCTTTAAGCACTGGGACGTACTGGGACTCTGCAACTTTCTCCCGGCAAACAAATATAAACAATTAGAAGCCAAACAAACTAATTCCATCTTATTGTTCTTTTTATCCAGCAATCAACCTGCACATGTTCTGTCCACAATACATTTTGCAATCCTTTGACGACCAAGAAGCCAAACATGGTCTCTTCCGGGCCCTTCTCCTGTCATGTAAAAAGCGACCTTCCTGACATGTCAGGCATTTCCAGAAACCTCCCATCCACCACCCTCCCCGGAGGGTGCCCTGGGGGCGCCCAGGGGCCCCGGCATCTCGCGCAGGTTCCGCACCGCGCGCTCGTTCACCGAGACGACGCGCCTCTCGTTCAGCAGGGAGTAGCCCGCGGTGCGTCTGGTCGGGGCGTCTGCCGGTGAAACCGGTGGTGCCCTTGCTGGGCCAAAAAAAACAACTTGGGGATTGCCAAGATCCTCTATTGGAGAGGCCATCCTTTCTGACAATTTGAATGGTGTGAGATCCAGCTCTAGGACTCTAGATGCTTAACTGGCTTAACTCTTCCTTCTTTCTTCATGAGTGTTGGGCACCCCAGAAAAGAATCAGACCAGAGCAGTTGTGACTCTGTGAGTCGGAACTGCTTCATCACAGGTCCATTTGGGGTATCAGGATAGGAAGACGGAGACCCTTCGATCTGCCTTTATGTGGCTCATCTGGTCAGCCCAGCCTGGAAGGGTAGCACTTGCTTAAAATCACAATCTGCTCCTGCGAAGCAAAGGCGTGGGCGCAAACCGCGCAAAGCGACGAAAGGCGAGAGGGCAAGAGAACGAGAGAGCGAGAGAGGGCCACTATTGGTTCTCCCTTTGGTGTGGGCAGAAAGTTGCTGGGTGTCAAATCGAAAAAGTTCGGTCACAAAGGTGTCCATGCACTGTAGCTCTTCAGTGTTGGTCTGATCTTTTCTGATGATTCAGTTCGCTACAAACCAGATCCATTTCTGCAGGAAAGAATGCGCCCCCTGCGTTCAGATCTGTCTCCCAAGCCAACTCGAGGCTTTGGACTGAACTGCTCACGACTTAATCTCCTTTCCGACTAGATAGAATAGATTACACTCACCCCCAGTGACAAATCGCGTGAACATCTCCAACTGTTGCTAGGGGAGTGTACTGCCACCGTTGAGGAAAGACACTCTACTCTCACCCTGTTTCTTGACTGGCAGTCAGGAACGTCCCGGATGAATGCCAAGAACTTCTCAAGACATCTCGGGAGACTCTCTGTCTCTTCCTGTTGGAGATGGCAACACGGTGGCAACATGAGGAAATCAACGAAGTTAAAGAATATCACATGCACATTGGGTATATCCCTGCCAGTAACAGTGGATGATGAAGTTAGTAAATGCTTTTCTCACAAATAGTGAACGAAAAGCAGGTTACCGCCTCTTTCCTTAAGCCTTGAGCCAAAGGCGAACGGTTGATTACCGCTCAGGTTCGTGGAAACTCTATTCCAACAAAAGGTTATGAATTGTCCCATGCACAACTTGTCCCCCCCTTGATCAGCAAACCCAGGTCCAAACAACCCCAGTGGACTTGCCCGGGCACAAGTCCGTAGGGATCTGCCGTGGCGTTGTGCTTGGTCAAGGAGAGTTTGGTATGGACTTGTCTTTACACAGTGCAATGGGCTGTAGCATGTACCAAAAATGAAAAGGGTGAAAGCAAAGGGGTGAAAACTCTCAGGCAGCAGAACCGGCAGCGTGCTGCAGTGCGAGAAGCCACTGCAGAGAAGCTGCAAACCATTGCCAATCCTAAGTTGCCCGCGCAAGCGCTGGGGCCAACAACCTGGTGAAGTTACGTGGTTTGGTTTGCTTGCCGTTGAGGGTTCCTTTGGGGATTGGTTACAACCAAGAGACGATCACGAGCCGTCAGAAACAGCTGACGTCCGAGTGCCTTAGTAAAGATGTCAGCCAACTGATCCTTAGTCCCAGTATGAACGACCTCAAAGTGGCCGTGCTGAATGGCCTCTGCCAAAGCTGCCACAGAGGTACGATGGGTACGATTGAGGGCTCGTAGTTTCTGGCTATATCCGGACATCATGATGGTCACTGCCGCTTGATTGTCCTCCCGAAGAAACGTTGGGATGGTTTCACCGAGCACCAGAGTCAGTACCGATTGGATGGGAATACCTTCATCGAATACTAAGATCGATGCAGAAACGATTTCCGCCTCAGTGGTACTACGTGAAACACATGCCTGCTTCTTTGCGGCCCAGTACAGCGGAAAAACAGTTCCTTGGTCATCTTGCAACAGGATCAGGTGGCCGCTATGAGACTTCATTGTAAGAGGGTCACCGGCGAGATCGGCGTCAGCGAACAGGTCCAAGCGGGGAACCGAACAACTGGCTGAGACTTTGCCTAGTAAACCTAAGTCTACTGATCCCTTGACGTAACCAAGCAACCGAAAAAGCATCAAATCGTGATTGCGAGTCCATTTGGCTATGTGTGAAGCTAAAGATGTTATTGCGAAGCTTATATCAGGTCTGGATAGGCGTGCTAGCCATAGAAGTTTCATCAACAGTTGAGCGGCTTTGCCAGCCAACTGTCCTGGTTCTTCGTAACCCTGGGGCGTCAGTGCGGCTTCCGTCACGAACGGTGTGTCATACACCTTAAGAGTCTTGCCAAACTGTTCTTCATATAAGCGGTATGCGGTGACAGCATAATCGCACATAGACATGAAGACTTGACGTCCCCCCCCCAAGTTCGAAGATGAGATGATCTCTGCCTAGGTACCGACCTGGTGCCTCAATGGTGTCAACCATGATGAACTGCGACAGCAGCTCCCAAAACACCGGAACGGATTCCTGAGGGCCAGCAACAACTAGATCATCCACATACGCTGCAACAAGGACATTCAACGATTTGATATGCCAAAGCGAGGGCCAACCTTCAACCTGATCCCCTTGGAGGTGCACAACTACGATCTCAGTGAGATACTCTTGCCAGTCATCACCTGAAGTGGGGTGACCATACATGGCCTTGTGCACTCTTGCTGCTACACGCTTGAACCTACGAAACCAATGGGGCAACCATGCCTCCCTGGGCAAGATGACATACGTGGGAACATCTGACCGGATAGGGGCCTGCAAGTAGGCTTTCTTGGCGTCAGCAATCTGCACCACATGGTTGGGGCGCAAACCATACCATAGGATCAAGTTGACTGTTGCAATCGTAGCTGGGATCGATTTGAGTTCCCTAAACAAAGCCAACTGGTTGTGTTCATCTCGTACGTCGTCTCCCCGAAAAACAAGACGGACCTTCAACTTAGCCTTGTCTGTGCTTTCAGAGTTCTTAATCGATCCGATTGGCATTGCTTCTGCGATATGTATCTTCCATCCTTCCCTGCGTGCGGTAGCCCTGAGTTCTTCTACTTCGTAGACTTCATCATCATCCCAAACATGAAGCTCACGCATTTCGTCAGCGTCTTCCTTGATTTTTGCACGACCTTGGGGATGATTGAACAACTCTTGACGTGACAATGGGGTGTGAACCATTCCTAGCACAGTTTGAGCCATCAACACACCTCGCTCTTGATGAGCAATGGCACCATGGATGGTAGGCATCGCAGGGATTCCTTCAACCGCTTTTTCGGGGTTCAAGGCTGACAGGATAGCAACCGCCATTTTGGTGTTGTAGATCCCGGATTTCTTCGCCATAGATCCTCCTTCGATCGGATCGTGAACATGACCGTGTCCATGGTTGCACCTAAATGTGTCGAGATGAGCAGCTAACCTCTTTGATGTTGTCACAACACGCCATTCCTTCAAAGGATGTAGCCCATTGATTTCCAAGGACACACCACAACCTGAAGGGTAGCATGAGTACATGGCAAAGTGTAGGATCATCTGAACGACTTCTTCCTCCTTCCACCCCCCGTTACATAACGGCCACTCGAAACTCGCTGAACCCCCCGATTCAACCGCTACCTCAGCTAGCTGACAGAAGTGATCCAACAAAAGCAAGGTATCCGAGCGCTTGTCATCCAACTTTTCCAAATATGACTCCCCTTGGACAGCCACATTAAGGTTTTGGAGTGGTGAGTAAGGGCCACATGGGATTGACCCCCACAGGTCAATTGCTGCGCCGTTCGCTGAAGTTTCAATGAACCAGTACATGACCTGTTCAATCACAACCGGGTCACGAAGGTCACCAAATTCCTCGGACAAACCTAGGTATGGTATCCCGCATGCTTCAGCTACTCTACAACACGAACTGTTTTCAGAGCAACAAAACTCGACAAACCACTTCTCCTTTGGTCGAGTTTTCTTCTTTGGGGGTTCGGTGCACGAATGCATCACCAAAGCAAGTTTTGTAGCAAGTTCATCCTCAGCCTTTGGATTCGTTTCCAATTCCTGCAAATAGATGGATGCTACAACTTCGGAACCCTTTTCCAAATAGATCCCTTCCATCTGTTTGCCTGTGATAGGAGTGGTCAGTGCCAAGTAGTCATCGTCATGAACCGTTTCGGCATCAGAATCAACATGCGCAACACCACCCAACGGTTTCCCTTTAGATGATGACGACGGCTCATATTCATCCAACAAAGCGTCGAACCTTTTTCTACAAGCTTTGGAATGATAGTATGTTGAAAATGCACACCCATCACAACCAGGGGTTTTACCGTAGGCAGCTATTCGTAGATCTGTGATCGATCGGTGACGTCGTGTCCTGCCCGATGCTGGTTCCTTAGCGGGCTCCTTAGTCCCAGATTCCTCAGTGACTGGTGCCTCAGCAACGGGTTCCTTAGCAGCGGGTTCCTCAGCGGCATCGACGGGTGACTTGGGCGCTTCGACCATTGAGTCGCCACGGGGAACGTCCTCAAGTCCGCTGGGTTCACCTTGGATGTCGTGGTCGTCATAGGCTTCGGGTGCGACAGAAGGTTCATATTCCATATCCTTCTCAGCAACTTCAATGTGGTCCTGTTCTGGCAAGCGTTCATCGATGCGCGCTGGAAAACGCCATTCCCCATTGGGGATTGCCAGTGACCGTGACACGAACTCCTTGAAGATTCCTTGATTGAAGTGCTCTAGAGGCCACACCCGGTAATTGCCCTTGAAGAGCATTCCATCAACCAACTCCGCTCCCAAAAACAGAGCCGGTTCACCTTTCGGGGCATAAGTAGCATGAAATGGTTCTTTGTACCAAACCAACGCGCCAAACGGAACCTTCAAACATTCAATGTCGTAACCCATAGCCAATTCGTACTTGGAAACTACACCTGAATCCTCTTCCAGACCCCGGACTGGAGTTGTGATGTTGTAAGCCCATTCGAGGTATTGTTGAGCAAGAGGCCAGTACTGTTGTTCCAACCCAGAATGCAACAAGATCGATGACGTCATGCCCTTGATGGTTCGAATGGTTGACTCCGCAAGTGCATTCTTGATCTTCTGGTACGGGGCTGCCGGTTCACTAGCATATCCGAGGTTCCTGAGCGCCTTCTTGATTTCGGGCGCTCTATCCGATGACACTTGAACTATCCCTGGTTTCCTTTTCCCACAAAACCGTCGGATTGCCATCTCAATCTCATCAGCGCTTTTGGTCTTGCAAGGTACCATTGAGACAAAACCAGTGTACACGTCTACCATGACCCAAGTGCATGTCTCCCCCCGATGACCGATTTCATCCTTGACAATGATATGATCACATGACAGTTTTTCCATGAAGAATGTCGGTTCCTCAGCAGCTCTGATTGCTTTGAGGTGTTTGCTCTGATGTGCTTCCCTTCTGTGAGGTACTTCATACAACTTTGCTTGCTTGCAAGTGTCACATAATCGAGATTTCGGTAGGTGCGTCATCAGGTGGTGCCTAGACAGATGCTCAACCTCTTCATCATCACCCTCTTTATGTCCACTTTGGTCAACCGATGATCTGTCGACACTTGGGGGCTCCACTTCAAGGGATCCACCCGCGCAGGGCGCAGGGCTGGATTCCTCTTCCACCCCAAGGGATCCACCCGCGCCGGGCGCAGGGCTGGATTCCTCTTCAAGGTACAGCCTCACCTGGTCAACATCTCAACCATCTTCAAATGCTGGGGGTTCATCGCTTGCCGGAACAGCCGAAGGATGGTGATCAGAACCAACAACCGGATCAACAAGAACTGCATCATCGGCCCCGCCCCCCCCAACGTGGACATCAGAGGCAGCGGCAGCCGGAAGACCGTAGGTAGCATCCACCGTCAAACGAAAAATGGGAACATGGTGCTCAACGCGGGTCGCTTCCAACAGGGGTCCATCAATTGCAACATGGCACTGGGTAGTTGGGGGAATCAACCTGGGCATCAAAGCGGGTTGCCATACAAAGGAATATCCCTCATTCTGCACAAGTTGGCCAATAGAAAGGGCGACGGGGCAACCTGGAAGCAAATAGTAGTTCTGGAGACGATCGAATTCCTTAGCCCATAGTCCAACAGTTTGGGTCCCACTCCGTTGTCCCCCTCCGGTGAGGAAGTGAACTGGAGCAGTCGTGTCGGTGACAAACAAGTCGACGTTCAGGCCCTGTCGTCCCAGCGACTCGACGGAGGCAAGGTGCTCGCCAGCACCTGTGTCCCCAACAACATCGAGATACTGCGCCGGCGCGGACGGCATCGCCGTGACGGTGGGCGCGGTGGCCACTAGCGCCACCGCCGCTTTGGCAAGCAAACCAGTCCCTGAAGACTTGGCTTTGGGCTGAGGAGTAGTGGATGGAGGCATGGTATGGCTATACGGGCACTGGTCACCGCGCATACACCTGTTCTTCATGAAGTAGATGCAGACGCTTTTGGCTTTCTCTGCGGGTGAGAGGGGTTTTGCCTTGGAATTGCCTTTGCCTGTTCCACTAGGCGCCGACTTAGGCTGATTGGCATCTGACTTGGCGGGTGCGGGGTTGCCGCCATTACCTTTGCCTGTCGAGTTACCTGCCTTGGAGGACTTGTTGGGTTGGGGGCCTTTGCCTTGACCTGGGGGGCTCTTGGATTTCCCGTCACCTTTGGTTCCTGGCATGGCGTTGGCCTTCTTTCCAACCAATGGGCCTCGCTTGAGATCGTCCCTGATTGATTGCGCATTAGCATCATGTTGTGCCTCTAGCAAAGTTGCGTCTACACCTTGCCAAAGGGCTTCGAACGATCGTTGGAATGAACCAAGTGCCGAGAGATGATACTGATCAATGACTCTACGCATCAACGGGTGACGTTTCAATGTTGAGTAAGCCCATTGCGACATGAGGTCTGCATTGGGTCGTTGCGTAGTGGGGAGTTGTGACAAGATATACAACACTTTGTCCCTCCACGCTCTCAACGATGAAGCACTATCACCTGGCGCTGGAAGCTGAAACAATTCAAGTGATGAGCTGATGGCTCCCGCAGCAGCACTGGTATCAAATTCTGTGGCAACTAGATTGATGATCACTCTACCTCGGATTTGTTCACCAGAAGCTTCGCACGATTCAACGTATGATTGAATTTTCAATCCAAAGATAGAGCGAAGTGATTCAGGTTTACACAACGAAGACGCGAGGACCCTATCAAGGCGCGGAAAGTCGTCCGAAGATACCTGAAGTTTCTCAATCTCCATCCCACGTGCATTGAATGCAGGAGTCAACCATTGACTTATCAATCCCTCGGGCGAGAGATCAAAAGCTAAGATCATCGTCCTCACTGAGTTTTTCCATGACCGATACTGGCTCGCCGTCTCTGGGAGTGCTGGCAGTTTCAAAGTGTGAAGATCCTTGGTTCTAAGGCATCGGCTCTCGATATCTCCAGGATGATCCGAACCATCCCTTTCTTGCTGTTCAGACAATCCAACCGGAGGGACACCACCACCACCACCAGGATAACCGTTACCAGTGTTCGCGGCTCCACCAAACAAGTCGAATTCTTCTTCTTCATCATCATCCAACCGATGTACCGGGGTACCAGGGGGAATATTCAAATCCTGAGGGATCAACTGATAGACTTCCTGCAAAGCATCTTGGGTAGCCTGTTGATATTGATCCATCTTGAATTCCATTCGGCCCAAACGTTCGGTGATATGCAACAACTGTTTGTGAAGCTCATGGATTCCCGTAGCATTACTGTCTCCTGATTGAAGCTGCTGAAGTAGCAATGCATTCTCTTGCCTAACCGACTCCAGCGATTGCACTTGTTGGACCAACGTGGCATTCTCTTGCCTCGCCAATTCCAACTGTGCCCTTGCAGTCTCCGTTTCCGCCCGTGCCCCTGCCACCACATTAGTGGCTTCCACTCTAATGTCCGCCACTGCACTGGCAGCTCTTGCTTCGAGCTCTGAGGTCGCCGCGGTTGCAGCCAAGTTGCCAATGAACTGTGGATCAGGGTTATGCACGTGTTGGTGAAGAGTAACCGATCTTTGATCAACAGCAACTGATCTCTGGTCATGATACACTTGGCTAGACAATTCCCTGGCATCAACAAACGTGTGATCCCGTGAAGCCTGCATGGTTGCATCAATAGACCTTTGATCATGAAAGACCTGGGTTGCTGCCACATCAACTGCTCTAGGTATCGGAAGCGACAATTCAACTGTTCCCCTCTCCATGCTATCCGGTGAACCCGCCGGTGAACCCGCCGGAACCATCATCCTTCCCCTTGGGGGTCTTTGGGACGCTGGATGCGGTGAGCCACTGGTTCTCCTTTGGAATGATGGGGATCTACGAACACGGATTCTCCTACTACTCGATTCACTAGAATGTTCTCGATCGGCTTCTCCAACAACTGCTGCTATGCCAAATGCTTGGTTCGAAGGATCAGATGAGGACGTTGTTACCTGAAAGCTGGTGCTTGAATCTTCTTCCATTCAACCAATTCCCACCAAGACAACTCAACCTTTGGGGTGAATTCCCGCGCCAGGCGCAAGGGCAATTTCAGTCAAGGTTCTGAGATGTCCCTCAAAGTTCCAACCACAATTGACGAAAAGATCGCTCAGGGATCACAGGTTGCACACGTTCCCTGGCAATTGCTTGCAATGCCTCCCTTAGTGAGTTCCTGCGAGTGTGCCTGGGATGGTTTCCCTTAGGCCTAATCAAGACGGTACGAATTGGCGACAAAACACCGTCCAAGATATCCGAACGATCGTCAATGTGATAAAAACACTGTGTGTGCTGCAAAAAGGCTCCTTTGTCACGTTTTGACACAATACGGAGTCCCAACTTCTGACCCTCTGGCTGATCCTTGTTGAATTCTCTCACAGCTGTCTGCAAACTGTCTCTCCTTGACTTCGAATGGGCTCCGTGCAAACCGATGTATGACGTGATCCCCAACTTAAAGCCTGTAGGAGACTGCTCAGCCAAAAACTGTCTCAAAAACTCCACGTTGTGAGGATGAATCCCTTCGCACTCAGAATCTCCAGCTTGCGACACGTTCAAGACGCCGTTATAGTCAATGGAAACCCTGTACTCTGGACTTCCCTTCCCAACACCCGACGTGGTAGTCCTCTCAGATTTCGGGTTCACAGGTTCAGCAGCAACAGTACTTCGAATTTTGGGGTTTGGTTTCAACACCGAAGGAATTGGAACAGACAACACTGGTGCACTCACCTCGGATGGGGTCGCAGCCGGAGAAGATGCAAGTGGCTTGGGCTTTGCCTTTGCCTTTGATCTCAACTTGGCCTGGGTAACCACTACTGGAGGAATCTCCTCCTCAACCTCAACCAAGTCCTCCTCTTCCACTCCTACTTCCACCAATTCCCCTTCTTGAGTCACAACCTCTGAATCCTGAGGCTCACCGCACGGCAACCTCAACTTCTTTTTGGGCTGTCCAACAGGTCCAACAGCTGTCGAACTTGAAGACACAACACTGGATTCAATTGGCACAGGTGTAACTCGAAGTGGTGACCTAGATGGTGACCTTGGACGCCTTGGTGGATTCTCAGGATGATTCGGCTGAGTATACAGAAGTGCTATCTCCTGCTCAATCCTACTGACCCTCGCAACCCCGGTAGCGCTAGAGGGTGCCGACTTCGGCTGGTGGAGGCCCTCAGATGCTAAACGTGCCAACTCTTTCGCCCGCTTAGTCTTTTGACCTCCCCTTTCCCCCCGTGGCATCCAGGATGCCAAGCTTCCTTTGATCAGCTGCCGCAGTTAACCAAGGCGAGATAACTCAAAGCCAGTTGGTATGCAAATACAAGCAGCACAAAGGAACAAAGATGGCAAGTGAAACAGAGCCTACGGCTGATAACCACGAAAAGCAGGTTACCGCCTCTTTCCTTAAGCCTTGAGCCAAAGGCGAGCGGTTGATTTCCGCTCAGGTTCGTGGAAACTCTATTCCAACAAAAGGTTATGAATTGTCCCATGCACAACTTGTAGTGATGATTATCTTTTCCCAACTGTTACTGGTAATAGGCCACACTCTGCAGGCGCACACAGTCGTCGCTGCTTGTTTGGCTAAACCGGCTCCCCATTTGTATGTGGGAAGCGACACAAGGTGCTGAACCCTTTTACCCAGGAGATGCATCAAGCGACGCCAATGTCACGCAAACAGGTCAAACACACAATACCAATAGAAACAGCAAGACCTCCAGCTTAATCTAGACTCTTGATTCATCACCCGCCCCCGAATTGGATGGTGAAACCTCGTCATTTGGTGCAAAATTGTTGGTTCTGCATTTGTATGACATCGTCTCACTCGTCTACCTCTCACTCGTCTACCTCGATTCTCCGGCTTTAACGTTCGAGAGTCGACTCGTCGGCTCCTCGGGGTCCTTCTTCAATCCTTCCTTTTGCAACATGACCAGATCCACCGGCGCATCGTGCAGCCACTTGGAGCCTGGAGACTCTCGTTTCGAGAGACGGCGGTCGACCGGTCGAGCTCGACTCCGTTTGGCTCCCGCGGCTTCCGACCTCGAAGAGCTGGTGGACTTGCTGAAAACATGGAATCTCCAAAGTTTGAGTAACCTCCCCAGCTCTGGTAGTTTGGAAGTCCCTGATCCACTCCAAGCTGGCCATCTTGTTGGTACATTGGGGTGGTACAGGGGTGAGGAAGCTCACGGAATGGACGACCTGCACAACAGTCAAATCAGCCTCCTTCATGGACCCCTTGGGTTTTGATCCAATTCTGAAAAAGTGTTGTATACATATATATATATATATCTATATCTACATTCAGTGAATGGTCATTGAGCTACCTTGCACCAAACACGGAACCAAGCAGCATGACCGACCAAGTTTAGGCAGAAGAATCTGCTGTGAAGTGTACCATGGTGTTGCACAGTTGCACATATAGCATGCTCCATGTCCTAATGGACACAGGGTAAGCCACATGCCTGTGCCCGGAACTCATATGATTCCCAACGAAATCAAGAAAATGTATAGTTATATTATATAGTAAATATTTTAACTAATATGGATCCGATGCACACTTTCACGCTGCTATTGAGAGCAAAACTGTTTTTGCATGTGACTCAGTGGATGGTCAGGTATGACTCCATCCCTTCGCATATGGCGAGCTGAATGTTCCGGCTTACACCCGGGTGAGCCAGCGGATTGAGATGGACTGTCATGTATACTAAGTGACTTCCGGTGGGGAATCCAAACTGCTTTTGCTCAAAAACTGCACCACGCACATAGGTTTGGTTCCTCTAGTGGCAAAAATGTGGCATCTGGAGCGAGTGTTGGTTTTGGAATGTTGCTTTTGATCCACTGGCCATATGTTAGCTTGCTCAAGTGAAAATCCCGGCGGCCCTACCGGGTTGAGACTGGGCCAAGACTTAAGACTACTTCCAATGATTTCAAACGCTACGTGTGAATCGTTTCGAGTCCGTATCTGTGGTGCCACACGCGCCGATTTGCCGATTCAACACCAAAGGGCCTAGTTGAACTCAGGGATGCTTCTAGATTGGCCATGCACTGGGAGATCTTCATGTTCAGCACTCAGCACTTGCAGCACTTGTTGAGCCCTTCGGCAAAGGAGGAACTACTCACCGCTGGGCCGGGCTCCCAGATTTCGGGCTCCAGAACCGCCGATTTCGGAAACGGTTCTGTTAACGGTGGGACTTTCCCCTCGGCTGAAACGGCTTTCGGAGTCGTTTGTCTCAGGGTCACTCCCTTCTGGCCGATCGAGTCCTGTGATACATTTAGGAGGCACCAGGCATGCATACTTTTTCCGATGTTTTTTCTTTGCTTTAGCAAAAAAAGGGGGGGCACAACGAACCGTTCAATCAGCCACATGGACCACATGGACCTATCGAAGGGGTTGGAAGTGAAAGTAAATCATCAAGGGGTCATAGTCTAACCATACAGTTATATGCATATTGCCTTTTGCAGGGGTCCGGTTCAGGAAGAATTACCCACCGCCCACCGCCCCGACTGAGCTCCGGGCCCCACTCTTGTAGATATGACCTGACTCCAAAAACTGAGGCTTCAAGGATCTTCAAGGCGTAGGAGTCCGTAGCCAGGAGCCCCTGGTAGCGTCCTTGCTCCTAGTAGTAGGGCCAGGAGCCCCTAGTAGCGTCCTTGCTCCTAGTAGTAAGGCCAGGAGCCCCTAGTAGCTTCTTGCTCCTAGGAGAGAGAAAGTATCTATATTATATACACCCAAATCATATCATCACACCTTTCAAACTGAGGGGCACTTCAGCCGGTCCTCACTGTCTACCCTTTCTTGGACAACCAGGAAGTGGTGCAGACCGTGGCCGCCCCCCCTTTCGGCTTCCGTGATTGCTGGAGAATGCATCAAATGGCATCAAACATCGCTCTGGCCTTGTCTGCTGGTGATTCGCAGCTTAGCCAATTGATCTCCTTGAATCTGGTTCAGCATCACGACATGCCATGAAGCTTCTACGACCATCTTCCAAATCAAAACCTCTGCTCCTTCCTGGCTGCTTCTTTTCCTTCCTTCCTTCATCCTCATCGTGACCCCTATTGTTCAGCCGGACCGACTGGGCCAACCGGACACTGTGAGCACCACGAAGAGCATGCCGCCGTAGAGGAACCAGGGCTGCAGAGAATCCTGGACCTGCCAATCTCTGGGATCCAGGGTGTTTTAGGGTGTGTTGGTCCACAACCCTGTTGTCTACAGGTCTTAGAGATTGATACTCCTTAGATTCAAATCTCCCTGAAACCTCCGAACTCGCCCAGAAAGTGAGCAAACCAGGTGCTGCTGGCTGCCAGGGGTCCGAGACCGATGTCCTAGAATTGGGATGCAAAGACTTAGTCGACGTGCCGTCCTCTTCGAACATCCTCGAACTGAAAAGCTGACCCTTTCACAGAGAGAAAGCACCTCTTGTCACACTATGTGTCACACCGAGAATCCGCAACGAGAGAACGCACTCCACGAGGTGGGTGGAAACACCATCTGTTGGAGAAAGGTCGAAACCGATTCGGTCCGAGACACCAAAGGATCCCCAATCGGTTGAGTTGATTGGAAGCTCCCCAGTCCGCCCATGTCATTCGGAAGATGCCAAGCAATCTCACAGGGCGAGTGAAGATCTTTAACGACCTTGAACGATTGGTGCTCAGGACTTCGGGAAAAAGCTCCTAGTCGCTTCTTGTTCCTAGTATGGCCAGGAGCCCCTAGTAGCATCCTTGCTCCTAGTGGTAGGGCCAGGAGCCCCTAGTAGCGTCCTTGCTCCTAGTAGCGATGCCAGGA